ATTTATTGTAGAGATGAGGTCTCGCCGCCCAGGCGGGTCTCGAACCCGCGGGCTCAGGCCCTCCACTCACCTCAGCCTCCCAAGGCGCGGGATGACAGGCTGAGCCACTGAGCCCGGCTTCTGTCTGACCCTTTAGGGCCCCTGGGGACGCACTGGAGCAGACCCAGCCACTCTTCTTCCCTCTGGGACACGCTGGCCCCCCTCCTGCTCCCGGGCTTCGGACCCCATCATTGTCTTTGTCCCAAGCTCCTTCCTGACTCCCCTCTCTACGTCCCCCCCGCCCCTGCAGCTGAACGACCGTCGGGTGGCCCTGCCTGTGTGGCCGGCGCAAGGCCAAGTGTCCATAAGGCCCAGCGGCTCCTCTGTCCTCCTCTACACAAACTTCGGTCTCCGGATCCGCTATGACGGGAACCATTTGGTGGAAGTGACCGTCCCCTCCTCCTACGCTGGCCGGCTCTGCGGAATGTGTGGTGAATTCCTGGGGCACCTGTGGGGAGAGCTGGGCCAGCGGGCAGTGCGTGGCCTGGCCCCGGTCCCCCACACCTTGCTGTCGGGTGACCTAAGTGCTTGCCAACTGACTAATTGATGGAAGACATTGGCACGTGGGTAGGTGTTAAGGAAGCCGGAGATGACGGGAAGAAGGCCTGACCTTGACATGCTGAGTGAAGAGCTGGATGCCTCTTTTGGTCAGGAAGGTGGTGACCCTGGGGCTGGTCTGCTGTGGGACCCTCACTGACTCCCTCCCACAGGGAACTACAATAACAACAGCTTGGATGACAACCTGCGCCCGGATAGAAAGATTGCGGGCAACTCCATCCAGCTGGGGGCCTCTTGGAAGTTATCTGAGTCCTCTGAACCTGGGTGAGCTGGGGATGGGACAGCCGGGCAGGAGGAGCTGGGCCTGGGGAAACCTCAGGGGATAGCCTGGAGGGGTCCCCGTGCATCCCCACTGCCTCTGTGTTGTGTTCCCTCCTGCCCGGAAACGGCCAGCCTCTCCCTTTTACTCTCCCTGAGATCGGAGTTGGTGAAAAGTTGTTCCATCTTCCCAGGCCTGATGAGTTCTCCTGTGCTCGGTGATCTCTTTGGAGAAGCCGCTTGGGAAGTCCACCCTGAGATCTAGCCTTCTTCCTTCCTGCTGCATCTCCCTTTTCCTGTGCCCTTCTCTGTTTCTCTCTCCACTTTTGCTTCTGTTTGGGAAAAGATTCCTCCGGCCCTCAGTGTCTATACTCACCTCCTCTCCTCACTCAGCTGTTTCCTCATGGGTGGCAAGCCCTCCAGCTGCCAGGAAAACGGCATGGCAGACGCCTGGAATAAGAACTGTGAGATCTTAACGGACCCTCAGGGTGAGACACAGCCCTTGCTGGCCTTTTCTCTTACCCCCAAGGACAGGGAGGAAGGCTGGTCAGGGAGGGAGAACGCGCAAGACGGAAACAGATGGAAAGTCGAGAAGAAGGCAAGACCTGGCGTGGTGGTTCAAGCCCGTAATCCCAGCACTTTGGGAGGCCAAGGCGGGAGGATGGCTGGAGCCCAGGAGTTGGAGACCAGCCTGGGAAACACTGCAAGACCTTGTCTCTACAAAATATCAAAAATTAGCTAAATGTGGTGGTGCACCCATAGTTCCAGCTACTTGGGAGGCTGAGGTGGGAGGAGCACTTGACCCCAGGGGTTGAAGCTGTGGTAATCTGAGATCACACCACTGCACTCCAGCCTAGGCAACAATGTGAAATGACTCCAAAAAAAAAAAAAAA